ATTTTGTATGGTTAATACGCGTGTCAAATACAAGAAAGACCCAGAATTTTACTCTGGCGGTGTTATTTATACACTTATGAAATGAATACAAAATATAACGGTGGCTATTTAACTATTTACAAAATGTATGTACATACATATATGGCTTATAAATGTTGTAGTACGTATGAGTGAAGATGATTTAACTACACGTATACACTCATGTATATATAGGTATGCTAAGGTGGTAGGCAAAGTGATAAGTATACCCAGCGGCGGTGTAAACGAGTATACCCAGCGGCAACATTCCCCCCCTAGCAAAGGAATCGTGATGAGTATTGCTTAAGTATTGCCGGTGACATCCAACACTGCCACCTTGGTTGCGGGCCTTTGCATTAGACCCTTTTGCGTTTTTATAGTTACCCGTCGCACCTGTTCATCTTTTGCTTTTACGACATCAACGATGATACCCTTCGGCCAATAAATTCGCGGCAGAGTCTCATCAACAACAACAACAACGTCTCCGATTGCGACTGATGCCCGCTTGCTGAACCATTTGGCTCTACGTTGAATGATTGGAGTATATTCCTGCAGCCAACGTTGCCAGAACTTGTTAGCGAAGTCTTGTGTCTTGTGCCACTGCTGTCGTAGGTTTGATGCCTCGTTGAAGACTGATTTGTGTCCGTCGGTAGATCCGAGGAGCAGGTGGTTTGGTGTGAGCGCATCGTCGTCTGCGCTGTCGAGAGATACAAATGTGAGTGGTCTAGAATTGATTGTAAGCTCCACTTCACATAAGGCACTTTTGAGCGTTTCGTCTGTAAATTTGTACGAAGGGCAAATAGCATTCAGGACGGATTTAACGGAGCGGATTAATCTCTCCCAGGCCCCGCCCATATGTGGCGCCCCTGGTGGGTTGAATCGCCAAACGACGTCTTCACAATTTATGTTTAGCTTTTCGATACCATTAGCATTTGTGCGCAAGGCCTTTTCCGCAGCTTTAAAGTTTGTGCCGTTGTCTGTATAAATCTCGCGTGGTTTGCCTCGCCGTGCCACAAAGTTCAGAATGCACATTATACAAGAACTGACGTCTAGACTATGTGCGACCTCCAGATGAACTGCACGGACGCTCAAACAAGTAAAGATTACTCCCCACCTTTTCTCTCTGCGCCTTCCAATCGAGACATGTATCGGACCGAAAAAATCTATTCCGACATAGGTGAAGGGACGCTCAAAGCTTGCCAAACGTGCAGCTGGTAGCGGAGCCATTTGCTGAGTATTTGGCTTAGCGCCATCGTTCTTGCAGCGTTGACATGACCTTCGTATTTTGCGGTAAAGTACTCGTAGGCGTGGAATATAATATTGTTCGCGAATCGAGTTCAAGGCTGCTTCATGAAATTGATGATGATTTCGTTCGTGGTAATGTCGAACTATTAAAGCTGTGATTGAGTTGTTTGTCGGTAAGATTATAGAGTCGCCAGTTCTTAAGCTTTCGGCTCTTCCCCGTGATCTGAGTATACCTTCGTCGCTTAAATAGACATTTAAAGAGATTAGTTTGCTATCGCTTTCAATACTCTTACCGCATTTGAGGTTGATAACTTCTTGCCGATATTCACTCTGCTGTGTCTCTTTTATGTGCGCGCTCTTAGCTCTGTGGATAATCTTGTCACATACGCCGGTAGGTATTTGCTCCTTCTTTATCTTGGATTTTAGTTTTTCTACGAACAATCTTACCATCGCCATCGTCAAGTATAATCGACGCCAGCTTGAGAACCTATCAGCATCGATTAAAGGTTGTGTGGTTTCGCCTTTGGTTATATGAAAGGTAAAATGTCGGAGTTCAGTATGCTCCACTGGTCCGAGGTCGTCGCATTTCGGCCAATCGGTTTGATTGAAAGATAAGAATTTCGGCCCGTGCAGCCAGATATCGGAACTTTGTTGCCGGCTGAATTTCGTTGCCAAGTCAGCAGGGTTAAGTTTTGAGGGAACCCAATTCCAGTCAGTGGCGTTGGTCGCCTCCAATACCTCGCCCACGCGATGCATTACATACTGTTTGAAATTTCTCGGATCCATGCGGAGCCATTTGAGCACGGTCTTTGAGTCTGACCACCAGAATCGAGCATGAATCGGAACTTGTAGTGCCTTCATCACATTGTTCGCCAATCTTACGCCAGTCACTGCAGCTTGTAGTTCGAGCCTCGGGATAGATACGGGCTTTAGCGGTGCTACTTTTGACTTAGCGGCCACGATGATAGTGTTGACTTCGTTTTTGTTTTTCACTCGCAAATAGCAAGTTGCCGCGTAAGCATACTCGCCGGCATCTACGAAGGTGTGGATTTGGTTGCATTCGGAGTCTTTTAGAAGTTGTGAATAACATCGCGGAATCGTAATAGAGGTTATTGCTGGCAACAACGTCTTCCACTGGCACCACTTGTTGTAAAGCGGACCTGGGAGTGGGTCATCCCAGTTAATGGCCGATCGCCATACATCCTGAAGTAGTATTTTAAGACCTATGGTGTAATGTGCCACAAACCCGAGAGGGTCGAAGATGGACATCAACACCTGGAGTACTTCCCTTTTGTTTGGGACCAAGCTACATTGCAAGATGTCTCGTCTCATTTTGGAGAACCTGCAAATAAACTTAAAAACATCGTTAGTTGGATCCCAAAACAAACCTAATATTTTTTCTGCATTGCTTAAGTCCTTAGGAGTTTGATCTTCGACGGACTCCCCGGGAAGTTGCCTCAGAACAGCTGATGAGTTAGATGCCCAGTTACGAATGTTGAATCCAGCTTGATCGTGAATTGCTTTCACTTGCAGAGCCAGTTCCAGTGCTTCTTCTTCGGTATCGACGCTGTCGATGAAGTCATCGACGTAATGATGCTTTTGTATTGCTTCTACCGCTCGCGGTGATGTTTGCTTGTATTGCTCTGCATTTACATCTCGAACAAAGTGAGCAATGCAAGGTGCGCAGCTGATGCCGAAGGTAAGCGCTTGCATAACGTAGATGTGAGGGTTATGTAACTCCTCACAGTTCTCGTGCCACAAGAACCTCTGAGCGTGCATGTCCATTTCTCTTACGCGAATCTGGTGGAACATTTCGGCAATGTCTCCACAAATAGCAAACTGCCCAGTTCTAAAAGCCAGTAATACGAAGACTAGCGAATTGAGTAGATCTGGCCCGCACAGAAGGAAATCGTTAAGAGCGGCTCCATCAGATTTGGCCGCAGCGTCCCACAAAAGGCGCAACTTGCCGGGTTTGTTGGGGTTTAGTGTGATAAATATCGGCAGGTACCACTCGTGGTCGTATGATCTATTTACTTCGTCTGCAGTTAACCTTCTTGCGTAACCTTTGCTAATTAAGTTGTCTATTTGCTTCTGCATGTCACGTTGCAAATTGGAGTCCTTAGCTAACTTTTTCTGCATACATCTGAAGCGTTTAAGGGCGTTGTCGTAACTAGCTGGTAACTTTGCGTCGTCATGCTTCCACAACAACCCCACTTCATAGCGGCCCTCTCTTTTTTCACACGTTGAATTTAGAATTTGCAACGCTCTACAGTCTTGTGGGGACATGAGCTCTCTTTTTTGCGGCATCTCTAGGCTGAAGTACTCCTTGATCTCTTCGTGTAGGATTTCGTATTTCTTTTCGCAGTCACATATGTGAATATTCAATAGTTGTGAGTCAAAGTGGTTAGTAGTACCTCCCTGCAAGGTCCAACCTAAGCGACACTTAGTGGCGATCGGCTCAAGCCAGTGTCCCTCACGAGTTTTGATAGGCACCGCAAGTTTCCAACAATTGGCTCCTATTAGAATACCCGGCTCGGCATTTTCATATGACTCGATCGGAAGCCCGCGTAGATAAGGGTATTTCTTCGTAATTTTCTCCATATTAAGAGACTGGCTAGGCAAGCCCAGTCGCGAAACGGTGTGCACTTCATTCGCATTGAGTCGCTTTCGATCCGTGTGTTTTCGCCGGTCCAGCGAAGGCACAGTGATTCTAGCTCGCCGTCCAAGCCCAAGGAATCATAAATGTGTTTTTCCATCAATGTCACGGATGATCCCTCGTCTAAAAAGGCGAAGGTTTTTATGGATTTACCCTGTGAGTGTATGCGAACGGGTATTATACGAAAACATGGTGCATCTTCATCATTACCTACATGAGTGTTTACCAGTTGATTATTTATTAGAGGTGGTGTGGTATTTTGCTTTTGCTCAGCATACGTAGATACGCTCTTCGGCGTGTTTTTATGAAGAAGCTTGTGGTGCTTTGATTGGCAACCATCGACTCCACACTCCCTGTTCGCATAACACTTTCGGAGGTGCATGTTAAGGCATTGTCTGCACAATTTATTGGATTTTACTACATCCCACTTGCGCTCCAAGGTGAGTTTACTAAATTCTACACACGTCTGTATTTTATGATCGGTGCACCCGCATAAAACACACCCAATTTTGTTATGATTTTCGACACCAGTTGCTTGCGTGTGTGCGTTAATTACGCCACTCTTTTTGGATACACGTGGTGTGATCACCTTACTTGCTGCTTCGGCTATTTGGAAAATCCAATCACTAAACGCTTTAATAATTGGTACTCGCTCTTCTCGCTGTAACATTGCCCAATTTAACTTGTGTTGGCTTGGAAGCTTGTCAACGAATTCCTTCACCAACATTGGATTATTCAGATGCGCCTCCATATGGCAGGCTTCCATCGTAGAGCAGATGTTTTGCACGCACAACGCGAAGTCGATAAGACTTTCCAGTTTTTCCTTCAGCGGTGGAATCGCCCTGGCTTTCTCCACCAACGATTCTAGTATATGCTCTGGACGTCCAAAACACATCTTAAGTGTTTGAATTATTTCCGGGACCATAGAGGGGAGAAATAATTTGCAGCGTACCGTCTCATAGGCCTTTCCCTTGAGACACTTCTGCAGCCGCATTAGGTTTTCGGCGTCGGTGTACCCCGCTACTTGCGTGCTGTTTTCGTAGTTACTTATGAACAGCGGCCAGTCATCCGGATTTCCGCTGAAGGTAGGCAAATCCTTTGGTATTACTTGTCTAGCGGCAAGCTGCGAAGAAGTCGGAGCTGTAGTTGTGCGGTTGATTCCGATAGACGAACCGCCTGCGCTTAGTATTTCGTACTTTTTTTGTAGATACCTTTGCTCTATTTTTCGCTCCTCTTCCAAGAGTTCCAATTGTAGTACGTGCTGTTGGGCTACGCTGTCGTAACCTTGAGTTGCATCAAGTCGCGCCCCACATTGAGCGCCAGTTATCGGTGGAAGTAGAGGTTGTTGCATAGCTTGCTGTCCTAGACCCGGGAGTTGCTTGGCAGGTGGGAACATTGCGGTTGAATATATCATTGGTGGGTTCGCGCGATGCGCATTGGAGGTGATAACGGCAGGAGTCATTATCGTTGCCGTTGATACGATGATATTGTTTGCTGTTGTAATTGAACGTATTGGTTGTTGACCATGTGTACCGAATGCTGCAGAATTATTATTCTGTACGTCCGTATTTGGCGACGATGCTGCTTGTGGTTGCCCGGTCGTTACCGTAGATATTTCACCATTACATGTCGGGGGAGCGATAGTGCTCTTTTCAACGTGATTTGTCTGCGCGGATTCGCAAGATTTACAATTCCAACTTATGTTGGCCACGTTACTATTCACCCCGACACAATCGTAGTGGAACCACCTGTCACAGGAGTCGCACTGTACCATGCGGTCGGTATCTTTTTCACAACAATTATTGCAATTGTACTCGTTAGACATGTTTATTAACTTTTATTTTAAAGAAAATATTTTTAAAGATTTGTTGTCTCTCAAATAAATGACCAAATACAAATTTTTTTAGCTTTGCTTTTAATTTTATTTGCACTAATTCATGTGCTAC